GATCCATTTGGCAATTGGTGAATATCTAAGTTCTTTTAGTACTCAAAGGAAAGGTGTGTCAATGTTCCCTCGAACACTGGCAAATGACTGAAGCTTTTGATGTTGAGGGGTATTAGTTTGAAACCCCCTTGAGTTACTGCAAAAGTTGAGAGTTTCCTTGGTTCTATATAGAAAAGATTGAGGCCATCTGGGTAGTTGGGGAAGATCTGAGAGTCCCTGGTTCTGAAGGACAGGTCAGAAGCTCCCTTCACTCATATATCAGGTTGGAAGATCTGTAGTTCTGTAGTGATCAGGCTATAGCCTGCTTGAGAACAATGGAGTGCATTCTGCTTCCTGGTTCAGAAGAGATGTGCTTGAGTGCCCTGTGCATCCTTGACAAGATACGGATACTAATACACACACCTATGAATACCTGATTTTTGACATAGAAGCTAAAATTATACAACAGAAAAAGAAAGCATCTTCAACAAATGGTGTTGGCATAACTGAATGTCAACATGTAGCAGAATGAAAATAGATCCATTTCTATCCTCATGCACAAAACTCAAGTCCAAATGGATTAAAGACATCAATATAAATCTGACCACACTAAACCTGATAGAAGAGAAAGTGGGAAACAGCCTTCAGTGCATAGGCACTGGTGACCACTTCCTAAATATAACCTCAGAAGCACAGACACTAAGAGCAACAATAAAAAATGGGACCTCCTAAAACTAAGCAACTTCTGTAAAGCAAAGGACACATTCAATAAGACAAAAAGGCAGCCTGATGAATGGGAAAAGATCTTCACCAACCCCACATCAAAAAAGGACTGATCTCCAAATTTTATAAAAAAACTCAAGAAATTAGATATCAAAATTCTAAATAACCCAATTTAAAAATGGGGAACAAAACTAAACAGAGAACTCTCAACAGAAGAATCTCAAATGGCCAAAAGAAATATTCAACATCCTTAACCATCAGGGAAATGCAAATAAAAACAACTCTAAGATACCATCTTAACACCTGTCAGAATGACTAAGACCAAAAATATCAATGATAGCTTATGCTGGAGAGGATGTGGAGTAAGGGGAACACTCATCCATTGCTGGCGGGAATGCAAACTTGTACAACTACTCTGGAAATCAGTATGGCAGTTTCTCAGAAAACTGGGATTCAACCTACCTCTGGATCCAACAATATCACTCTTGGGCATATACCCAAAAGATGCTCAATCATATTACAAAGACATTTGTTCAACTATGCTCATATTTATTTGTCAAATTTGTTCAGCATTATTTGTCATAGTCAGAATCTGGAAACAACCTAGATGCCCCGCAAGCAAAGAATGAATAAGGAAAATGTGGCACATTTACACATTACAGTACTGCTCACCAGTAAAAAAAACAATGACATCTTGAATTTTGAATGCAAATGGATTGAACTAGAAAACACCAACCTGAGTGAGGTAACCCAGACCCAAAAAGATGAATATGGTATGTACTCACTCATAAGTGGATACTAGCCATAAACAAAAGATAGTGAGCCTGTAGTTTACGATCCCAGAGAAGAAGTTAGTAACAAAATGAACCCTAAGAAAAACATATATAGATGACCTGGAAAGTTGAGATAGACAAATTACCTGATAAAATTAGGAGTTTAGGGGTGGGAGAAGAAGGGAGGGCAGAAGGAGAAGAGAAGGGGAGAAGGGGAGGGGCGAAGAGAACTGACTTTACCCTGTAGTCAGACTGATGAATATCTCAACTATCGCCATAGAACCTTCATCCAGCAACTGATGGAAACAGAGGCAGAGACAGACTTCGGAGCATTGGACTGAGCTTCCATAGTCCAGTTGAAGAGTGGGAGGAATGAGAATACGACAAAGAGGTCAAGAACATGATGGGTAGATAACCTGAAACAGTCTGCCTGTGTTAATGGGAGCTCACCAACACCAGCCGGACTGGGAAGGAACCAGCATAGGACCACACTAGTCCCTCTGAAGTTGATTGACAGTTGCATGCCTAGGGCAGACTGAGGGGCCACTGGTAGTGACACCAGGATTTATCCCTACTGCTTGAACTGGCTTTTTGGAAACCTATCTCTTTGGATGGATATCTTGCTCAGCCTAGATATAGTAGGGAGTGCCTTGGACCTTCCACAAAGCAATTTGCCTTACACCCTCTGAAAAGTGGATAGGGGTAGGGTGGGGGGTATGTGAAGGGAATGGAAAGAAGAGAGGGAGTGGGAACTTGGATGGGTATGTAAAATGAAAAAAAAGATACTTTCTTTTCTAAAAAAATAACTTTGATTTTTATATTTCCATTCTGGCTATCACAGATGCACACTAAGGCATTGGATAGGGCCATCTGCCTATAGTAAAGGCAGGTATTTTCCTTCTGATAAGAATCGGTCACAATTTCTACCTAGAACATGATATACAATTTATTATCAACTGAGAATAACATAGTCTCCTTCTGACTAATGTGGCCCTAGAATTACTTCATATGGACTAATGGATGTTTCTTATTCTAATCATCTGACTTCAAGGCCTTTGCCCAAAAATAAAAGGACCCTGGTGCCCGAAGTCCAGAGCATTAGAGCACCCAGCAGTGCCCTAACCCAGGACAAATATGCCTTTTATTTGGTCATTAGAAATAAAGAAGTCACGTCCTTCTTGTTTAGAAGGTAGTTGAATTGGTCAGGAGACCTAGCTGAGAACTGCCCCCTAGCATGTTGGAGACTGATCACACTGCTGCCTGCCCTACCTGATGTGGATGTTCTAGAGCCCCATAAAGATCAGATAAGAAAGTGCTCAGGGTTCCTTAATTCCCAAACTGACTCTTGATATCCCCAGAATCCCCACAAGACTCTTTGAACTATCTACATTCCCCGACATAGCATGACACTTTTTTTCTCTGAAGAACAGTGTCCTCAAAATTCCCTGTTTGTCTGTGGATGCTTTGTTGGCATTCTATTTAAGGGTTCTCCAAATTTTCTTCTGACAAGAAGCCTCAGACTTATTCCTTCATACCCAGGAGGACTGAAGTGGAGCTCAAATTGTTGTCAAGGTCTCTTCGTGCTCTTTACATCAAAATAAGGATCCAGGTTGGTGATGCATTCTAAGCTTCAGAAAGAAAATGCAGTCACTCTCTCACCAGCTTTGGCTTTAGTGTCAAAGTGAAATGTTAAGCAAATTCTCATTGTCTGGTGTTGGTTTCTTCTTGATTAAGAACATTAATCCAGGAATGTTTTCCTGCTGGCAGCAGTTGAAGGCTCCTTGATTCTTTACAAACACACACAAAGTGTAAATACATGACCTTCTCGTTCCCAAATAACTTTTAAGTAAATATTAACCACAGTTACTTTGCCAAAACCTTTGGCCTACAAAAGTCTGAAGTTGAATAGGATGACGTATGGATTTCACGTCGTCTGTATGCTTTTTCCCCTTAGGCTTTACAAAATATGGAGGCTACCTTTGTGGGTATAGAGCTGAATGAACTTTGGACTGTCCACGTCCTCTTGGCAGCACAAGGAGCATGTGTCTCTTAATCTGGGAGCTGTGGGTGAAGGTCCTGGCAGTACCGATTACCAGCTTATGGCACCTTGCAAGACAGTGTGGCTGTCCACCCTCGAGACATCTCAGTCCTCTTATTATACTTGAAGGTGTCAGAACTAGACACCAAACCCAAACAGGACACCTGGTCCAATGAGTGACAGACTCTAGCCAAAAGGCAGAAGAATTAAAAACAATGCTCATTCAGAGATGGGGAGAGGGAAGGAGTAAGGGAGGTAGGGAGAGAGAAAGAAAAGGAGACAGTGAGGGGGAGAGAGGGAGGGAAGGAAGGAAATAGGAGGGAGGGAATATGAATGATCCCTAAGATAAGTTGTTCAGAATACAAGTTCAAAATCCACTGTCCTTTAGTGATATAGTGATCTGCCTGCGTGGCCACACCATAAAACTCCATAACACCAGCCTGCCCGCCCACAGTTCCATTCTTTTCCATTCTTGCTGTCTTAGAAAGAGCATTAGGGACTCTCCATACTTCAAATGTGTATTCTCGCACCCAAATTATCACATTAAGCAAAGGACAATGGACATGTCTTAAGGGACTTTTGGCCCATTTGACAAAACATTCATTGTTTAGACTAACTCAAGTGAAAGCTCTCTACAGTCTCCTGAGTCCTCTGTGAGAATAGTTTTGTCCTAGAGCTTACTGCATAGCTGAGATGCACTCTCTCTGCCTTTCTCCTCCAGTGTATTCTGAGCTTATGTTCACGTGTGACAGTTGTAGCTGAAACTCTCTGAGCTGCCCCTACCCATGTGGCTCCATGGTCAGCACATGTGCACACTGTTCTACTCGTTCCCCACAGTCATTGATGTGACGTCTAACTCATCCTTATCTTACAGAGAAGGAGACCACGGCAAACGGCAAGGAGATATGTCCAAGTTCTCTCAGGAGAAGGGATAGGGCATGCTGTGGGCACTGTCTCCTGGAAGGAGTGGAGTCTGTCTCTTACTAATGACTGTCATCCACTGGACCAGTTCCATGCCTGCCTCAGGTCCTTGGTCAATGCTGACCAGTAGTGTGTGCTGCAGAGATACCAGGGATTTCAGAACTTTGCTGTGGCTGAGAGTGTTTCTCTGCTTTGAAGAGGAATGGAAGCCAAACCTTCCTCCCCTGAGGCTCTGTCCGTCCTCTCCATCTGTCCTGTTTTGTCTCCTGTCCTCCTTAATATGCTCCGTGTAGACTAAGCTACTGCTTTTCCTAGCAAAGGAAAGCAGACCTCTAACCTGTCTGAGAAAGGGGAAAGTGCTGCTGAAACAGTGGAAGAGAGAACCGAGAGAGGGGAGATAGATGAAAAAGGAAGTGTGGAACCTAATGAAAGCAGAATGTCCCCAACATCACTTCCCCAGAACGAGTTTTCCTTGACAGGGCAGACAGTGCCCTTTGTATTCACTTAATGTGCAGTAAGGATAAACTAATGGGTGTGTCATAAATGGCCAGATCACGTGTGGCATCAGCTGACACCCCAGCCAACAAAATCTGTGTGCAACCTTGGCCCAGTGCACTGCAGGAGGGAAGAGCCTACAGGGACCCATCAAGCTCCTGCCAGCAGCGAGGACAGACACCATGAGCACAGCCGGAAAAGTAAGAAAAAGACCTCGCTGTTGGGAATATATTCTCATAACATGCTAAAAGATGCTGACTTCTAATTAGACATGACATGCTCTGAAAGGCAATGTGTAATGTGTACTATAGCACAGGGCGTGCACTGGACGACAGTGCAGCCCGGCTGCTGCTAAATATCTTTAACAAGAGCACACAGACTCTAGATCTGGGGCATCCTCACTTCCTCACTAACTCTGCAGCACAGGGAATTCATTCTGAGCCAACTGTGATTACCTTGTGAACAGAAAGTTTTAAAGAGATCCACAGAGAAGTCTTTGTTTATATTGAGATACTTTAGTGGGCTGTTCTTTGAAATCACAGGTTTCTTTCTATTTTTTGTTTGTTTGTTTAGTTTGTCTATACTCGGTTTCTCTGTAACAGCCTTGCATGTCCTGAAAATCACTGTGTAGACCAGGTTGGCCTCAAACTAACAGTGATCCACCTGCCCCTGCCTCCCAAGTGATAGGATTAAAGGCGTGTACTACCACAGTTCAGCATGTAATCATAGATTTCTTATAAAAAACAATAAAGTTAAATCTGTCAATAGTTTCATAAGAGGAATTTGACTCGGGAACATAGTAGAACTGTCCCAATCACCTTTAGATAAAATTTCTGAAGAGAGGTGGATTGATTTCTAAACTTTAGAATCATCCACAGTATATTACCATGCATGCTATGACTTGGAGGGGTCCATTACTGCACAACTCATAAAATCTCTAGAAGCTCTATAGAACTGTCTCTTCTCTCTTAAAAAAAATCTTCCAGCTTTTACATCAATTAATTCTAAGAACAACTGAATCACTTGCTAACACTGAGAATACACACATGTGGTACTAAGATTTCCACAAAGCCCCTTTACTTGTTCAATCTGTATATGGTACCGAATCATGCAAGCAGTCATTCAGCATAATTAACTGATTCGTGCTATCCAACTGCCTAATTATAATGCCTCTGTTTCTGTTGGCACAAGGGCTGTTTTAGGCGTGGGTCAAAAGTCCAACAGCTCATAGTGAGAACTGGGGTTGGAGACTTCTGCATCCACGGTGTGACACGATTCTGTATAGAAAAGATGGGTGGAGAACGGTCACAGAAGGGGCAGTCGCCATTAGTTTTGTTCCAATTCACTTTATTTTCTTTCACTCCTGGTCATGTTTAGGATGGCAATCACATTTCAAAGAAAAGTAGTTAGGATAAATAATGACTGAAAAAGTTAAAAGAGAGACTGAATTCATGCAGAATAAGTGGAAACCCAATCCTATCAACCAAGAGAGAATTGAGGGACTAGGGAATTCAGGCTCTTGGGTGCAGGGTCAGTAACAACACAATGGTGATCATTGGCTTGAGTTTATACTGCATAAAACAGCAAAATAACAAGATAGCCAGGTATGAGAGACCATCCCTGAAATCTCAGTGCTAGGAAGGCCAAAACAGAAAGGTTCCTAGTTCAAGGCCAGCCTGGGCTACTTCTCAGACTATGTCTCAGAAGTCCAAAGCCTGGGATTTAACTCTGTGACTGTGTACTTGCCCAGAATGCACAAAGTTCCAGGTTCTGCTCTCAAGCACTTCAAAAATATATTAATAATCATAATTCAGAATTAAACATATACCCAATGATTTTAGTACCAATGAGTACAAGAATAAAAGATAATGTTAGAGTGTCCTGAAAGAGCACACACCCATGCATACCGGTGTATGGCCTTTCTTTTCCTGACCTTCTACTATGGTGTCATAGATTTTTCACTGTGTTTTGACTCCTTATAAATGAGAAGTATCCATTTCTAAGTAACAGTGGGTGGAAGACCTGGGACACAATTGCAGTGATCCCCTTCTAGCTGCAGTAACCCTTCATCTTTCAGGTGATCAAGTGCAAAGCAGCTGTGCTGTGGGAGACCAAAAAGCCCTTCTCCATAGAGGACATAGAAGTCGCACCCCCCAAGGCCCATGAAGTCCGCATTAAGGTAGCGCCCCTTTCCACTGTCTAAAATGTTAGGTTTGAAAAACTCAGGAAATACTCCATAGATATGTCCAACTGTCCATTAACATCTCGTTTTATGTGCTCATCCCGACAATGAATGAGCCTATTGCTAAGCCGAGCTGTAGACATCAGCTGTTGAAAGTTCGAAGTTTAACATAATTTGTGAAAACTTTTTAAAATGTTTATGAGTTTGTAAAGCGCTAAACATTTTGAGTCCAAAAGCAGCTATTATTAGGTAATTTCTTGGTGTTCATTTCCTGTCTCTATTTCCATAACCTAGCATCCATTTTTATATATTGCATAAACTACATTTTGTGGGGGTGTGGTTTAATTCAGATTGTTCATTACCACTTAAGCTGTTTAATTGGGAGAAGAAATGAAAGCACACAAAAAAACCTTGGCCCTCAATTGAATCTGGAAGCAATAGGGATTGTTAGCAAGATCCTGAGAAGCCCCAGTTCAGAATGGGTGTGCTAAACCTTCACAGTCGCTATTTGGCTGAGTGAAATCGATCTTTCAACTATAGATGGTGGCCACGGGGGTCTGTCGCTCAGATGATCACGCAATTAGCGGAAGCATAACCACGCCTTTACCTGTAATTCTTGGCCACGAGGGAGCTGGTATCGTGGAGAGCGTTGGAGAAGGGGTGACTTCTGTCAAACCAGGTACAGAATTCTTTACCATCAGGGCTTATGTTTTGGTTCTGGTCCCAACAGCAACCCTCCCAAAATAGGAAGTCCAGGCAGTTGGAGACTTAAAAGATGGCCCAAGGTCACAGGGTTTCCACCCCTTCCTCCCTGCATGCCTATGTCCTGTGGCATCCAATCATGTCTTTTCTCTATCAACATCTATTTATCATCTACTCGATATCAGGTGCCAAGTTTGATTCTTCAGTGTGATGTCCAATATTCATAATCTGCTAACTTCTGCTTCAGTGTCGCTGAGCACCAGGGACTAGTCAGGATCCATGCAGAAATGGGGCAAAGGCAAGACCTGCAGGTCCAGGTTCTGAGTGCCTAGATGTAGGAAAACTGCTCTGTGCTGAGTTCAGAGACCTGACTGATCGCCTGGCTTCAGGATGCCTCTCCTGTAGGATGCCATAGGTTAACCGCATTGCATCCACAATATGGCTTCCTCTTCATTATATGCTCTTCCTTCTTTAATATAGAAACATAATACAAGATAAGAGGAAACTCCAGCGGGAAAAACATGGCCAAAGTCCTGCAAACACAAACACCGCTTTATTATCACTACTTGGGGCTGGAGGTGGTGGGTGGCACATTGCTTATTACTTTATCCATGTTTTTATTTTAACTCTCCCGTTTGTATTCATAGGTAAAGGTTGAGTAAAAATAAATTTTCCGTGGTGTCATCACACATTCATTTTATCTATGAAACATATGATCAAGTCATGATTTGGTTCAATAACATAGGTAGCACACATGATTTAAAAACAAAAATTTTGTTCACCTCCAAAAAGATCACTTTAGCCAGTAGAGTCAGACATTTATGCATTCCAAATAACCTGAAAATAAGGAAACAACTCCTCTGGCTGGAGTTAAGTTTGCTGTTTACTTTATTTGGAAACAAACTTAGAGTAAAACGATACCTTTACTTCTCAGGATGCTTTGTCTATAGCAGAAAAGAAAATAATAGTTCATAAACATATATCTAAAAAAAAAAAGTCGCCTTTCCTTTCTCAGGGGAAATCTCTAACTCACTGTTGAGGACTGAGATATCCAGAGGAAGTTGTCACTTCTCTGTCACATTTCAATCTGTGTACTCAAAAACAACTAAGATTATTGTTAAAGCATTCGTTTCATAATAAGAGGAGCACAATCACTTTGAAAGCCAAAACCTGGTGATGGAGAAATGACTCAGTGGGTGAGGTCATCCTGTTAGACAGTTGACAGCCACCTTTAACTCCAGTTGCTCTGGACCCAGAGCCCTCTGCTGGCCTTCAAGGGCACCCACACACAAGTGCATGCACACATGGATACTCAGACATACACAAGAAAACAGGACAAATCTTTTTAAAAAGTAAAAAATTAGCTATTAAAAGTCTCATATTAATTTTATTATAAAATATTTCCTCTATTATGTTCCTTTTTAATTTTAGTTTTATTGTAACTATTATGGAAAACATCAGATTTCTCCAACATCTAATAGGAAGTTAGCAACTCATGACAATTAAAATATATATTTATACTTAACAATGAGTATATCTAAGGTTTGACTAGGCTAATATGTGCAAAGCCCCCAGAGAATGAGGAACACAATGAGAATTAACTGCTGATCAGTGGAAATGGATGTTTTTACATTTCCCTTTTCTTTTGGGAAACTTTAGGCATATATAAACCTGGATGAATAGCAAGGCAGCAAGGCAAGGGCCCATGCATGAATGTACAGGAAGTTCTTTTATGTGTTAATATAAAGCTAACCTGAAGATCAGAAAAGCAAAACAGCCAGTCACTGGCTCTTACCTCTACCTCAGTCCGAAATGGGGATCCTGGCTCCAGGACTCTCAGAAAGAGACTGAGAGCTGTCTCCTCCTGTTTTATATTCCTATCTAGTTCTGGGATTAAGGGCGTGCACCACAACTTCCCGGTTTCTAAGGCAAACTAGAGTGTCTCTTGAGATTAAAGGTGCATGTCACCATTGCCTGGTCTGTACGACTGGCTGGCCAGTGTAGCTGTTTTACTTTTCTGATCTTCAGGCAAGCTTTATTTATTAAAATACAAATGAAATACCACTACACATGACATAGTGCCGAGGGGCCATATCTCTGGGAAACCTCTCTAAGTCACACATCTCTACATGAAAGCTTCATGTTCTCGCCTTGTTAAATCCAGGGTAAACATTAAGTCATTTTCTTGTTTCCTCTCCAGGCGATAAAGTCATTCCGCTCTTTTCTCCCCAATGTGGAAAATGCAGAATCTGCAAGCACCCAGAGAGCAACTTCTGTATGAAGAATGAGTAGGTTTTTTATTGTCTTCTTACACAATTAGGGTGCACACTGGTTTCTTGTTGTCTTCTTGAACAATTAGGGTGCACACTGGTTTCCCCTTGTCTCATGTCCTCTCTTTGCTTGTTTCACTGGCCAGTTTGGTACAGCCTCGGGGGACCTTGCTCGATGGAACCAGCAGGTTCACCTGCAAGGGGAAGTCAATCTACAACTTTACCAGTACCAGCACCTTCTCCCAGTACACTGTGGTAGATGAGATTGCAGTGGCTAAGATCGATGGGGCTTCACCCCTAGACAAAGTCTGCCTCATCGGCTGCGGTTTCTCAACTGGCTATGGCTCTGCTGTCAAAGTCGCCAAGGTAGGATGGAGAGTGGACCATGGACCAAGCTATGTGCATATTGTTGGAACCGAAGGGAAGAAATTGCTCACAGGCATCAAAAAGAGTTTTGTAGAAAAGAAATAAGATTGTCCAACTCCAGCGAGAATTCCCTCCACACACTCATGAAAAGCTCTATAATGATATGCATCCAGGTCTGCCTATTCACAAAAGAAACTGGCCTCTCGTAGAAATTGTTTGAAACTTACATAGATCTGGAGCTGTAACACTTTGCATTTGCTGTTGTCTGCAAAGCTCTGTTATGTCCCAGTCCCAAGATACACTTGAGCAATAAAACATGTTTTAAAGAGTCAGAAACTGGCAAGCTTGGCCATGTGGGACAAATGACAGATATTAAAGTGGAGACGTCATCACTGTTATCTCTAAAGTAAGCCAAAGTGGGGAGATCCACACAGCACAAATGCTGTCACCAGTGTTTTTAAAATAAAGACCAGCACTGCTACCTAGCACCAACCTGCCTGCATGGTGGAAATTTCCTGAAAAGAAAACCAAGGCTTAGTGATGAACCAGGACTTAAGGGCACTGGACCAGTGCAGTCCCTCTGAGCTGCCTGATGTTCTTTGAAAGAGCATCACACGGTGAACGTGAGCTTTGATAACGGTCAGGTGCGGGACAGGATGTCTCCTTTCGTTATGGGGATTGAGAACAAACCCTAACAGAGACATTTTCCCAGCAAACCCTAACTTTGGTTGTGTTAGAGGTCTCCCTTTCCTACAGTTTCTGTCTCTTAGTGTGTGCACATCGCATGAGAAACAGCGCTCCTTTAGCTACCCTCAGCTGTGTGTGACCTAGTATATCCTAAGCAAGTTTGCTGGTAGATCCTTTAAAATGTCTGTCTATGACTCTAGGATTCTCCCACATCATTTTCAGAGGTTGATGGTGTTGATAAAAATATTAATAGAAAAATAAGCCCAGGAGAAATTTGAATGCTGAAGAAAATTCATGTCTTCATTATAGATGAAAATAATGCTTATTCTGAGTTATGAGAAAGTAAATGTTTTTTGTTCAATAATTACATTCTGTATTTATTTTGTGGCTTCCACCCCAAGTGTTTGAAACTCCTTGTTTCAACAGGAGGACTGAGTGAGCTTCACAAGACATGGGTACTTGTGATCAAGGATTTCAATCATTATTATTAAAATACAGATCAGCTATTGCTTCAGTATTTTTTCATTTGCTTCTTTAAAAAGTCAAGCTTAAAATCTCACAAAGACAACATTGGTCTCTTGATGTATTTTCTTAAAGTTTCCTGTCCACTTTCCTGTTAAGCCACAAATGATTTGTCAATGCTTCCAAGATTACTTCTGCTCCAGTTACCCTGGTTGTGACTACTGAACAATAGTGAACCAAGGAGTTAATGATTGAAGGGTGGTTGGATTGCAGTGCAGTCTCCTAGAGTAACCATGGTCATTTGTTTCTGTTTGGGTACAAACTTCACTCCAGTCCCTGGCAGCCATATATCAAAAGGGTCTGAGATATTTTAGTGGATGCTCCATCCCAGGCCCCCTCTCCCATATCTCTCTCCAAAACCTGCTGCATATCAGAAAACCCACCAAATGGTGGTCCCTGTTGTAAGGAGGCTGCTTGTTTGTTCCCACTGCCCATAACCCAAATAATCACACAGAAACTGTATGAATTACAATACTGCTTGGTCTATTTGTGTATGCATATTTTTAGTTCACTCTTATCTCTTAAATTAACCCATTTTTGTTATTTTATATTTTACCATAAGGCTTGTGGCCTACCAGCAAGGTTTCACCTGGCTTCTTGTGTATTTCTCCTCTGGCGGTTCCATGGCAGCTCCTGACTCTGTCTTCTTTCTCCCAGCATTCAGTTTAGCTTTCCCCACCTAGCTCTGTTCTGCCCTGTTCTAGGTTCAAAACAGTATATTTACCAGTCAATGGTAATCACAGCATACAGAGGGGAATACAACATCAGGCCCGTCCCCCAGTGATGCTCAAAGCCACTCCACAGGGTATTTAAACTGCCCCCCCCAGTAAACAGACACACGGTTTTCTCCTCTCTGGGGTTGGGGCTGGGAGGCTATCCAGGAGTACTGAATCCATAAAATCTGGGCATTTTCTAATTCGGTGTGACTTGGTCTGATTTGGGTGGCTGAGAGGCTTACAGGGTTACAGAAAATTTTCTGTTTCATTTATACAAACTGCTTTTGTGTATGTGTAAGAGGTTATTGTGTGGCCTGGGAAGAGGGAAGTCAATGCCATGTTGAGTTCAAAGATCATCCAGTACAGCTAGTCTCACAGGGGATTTTTATTGGATTAGAATGAAGTTTCACATGCAGAGATGCCAAGTAACTAATAGAGGCTGTTACTGAATCCTGAGATTAACAAAAAAAATGGTAACTCTCCAGATACCATTTAATATATAGCAAACTTTGAGAACCAATGCTTACCCCTTTCGGCAGCTTTAGTCAGAAGAGGTTTTGGAAGCAGGTGGAATGACATCTGTGTGGCCGTGACAGAGGACAAAGCAAGGTGCCTTGTGCAGCATGGAGCACTTCCTAGCGATCACGTTTTGGTCCATCTTTTGTATTTTCTGCAAACATAGGTGACCCCAGGCTCCACCTGTGCTGTGTTTGGCCTTGGAGGTGTCGGTCTGTCTGTCATCATTGGCTGTAAAACAGCTGGAGCAGCCAGGATCATCGCTGTGGACATCAACAAAGACAAGTTTGCGAAGGCCAAAGAATTGGGTGCAACTGAGTGCATCAATCCTTTGGACTACAGCAAACCCATCCACGAAGTACTCCAGGAAATGACCGATGGAGGGGTGGACTTCTCCTTTGAAGTAATCGGTCGCCTTGACACCATGGTAGGTACTGTGGCATGCCCTCAGATCTCTCCTTCTGCCATCCATAATGTGCTCAAAATAACAAAATAGAAATTTCATGCAGAAAACTATTTTAGATGGTAATTTTCCATCTCCAGTTTCCTTCTCCTATTGATTTATCCAGCACTGTGATAAACAGTTCACCCTCTCAGTTCTACGAATTTGTCTCAAGTAATGATGCTTCATTAATCATTAACACAAAAAAGTTTTTCATTGAGTTTTTTTCTTAAAAATCAATTCATCAAGGGAATTTTAAAACAAATTCTGGACCAAAAAGGATGAATAGATTTTCTTCCACATTCTTAATATTATATAGTATTTGAAATTAACTATTCTGAAAAGCATTTTCAAGTCTCATCATGTGGCCCAAAGGAACAATAAGTAATATTGGGACAAGTATTATTTCATTAGCATCAAACATGTACAGGATTGGCTCCTTTAATGGATCACCATGTTTTCATCTAAGAGACGTCAGAGTGCCGGGTGACAAAAACACCCAATTCTACATGTTGGATTAAATACCTTTCAAAATAAAATTCATAGATTCTGCCATACCCTCTAAATTTTGTCTCTCTCTCTCTCTCTGTCTCTCTCTCCCTCCCTCCCACCACTCTCTCACCCAGGGCTTGGACTCAACCCCACTCTGCCCCTTCTATCTCATCTTCAATAAACAAAAAACAAAAAAAGAAGAAGAAAAGAGTTGCACATTTTATAGGGCTATTCATGATCTACATGAAACAGTGTATGTAAAATACTTAGCATGCAGCCAGCTGCCATGTGGTAAGCACTGAATTAAGTCAGCTGCGGATAATGATAAGAAAGGCTATTGCCAAGCCTACAGTGCTTAAACTTTTGAAATGAAAATTATCCATATAGTTGCAAACGCCATACATTGCTAAGTATGTAACTTCTCCAGTACATATCAGCCAACCTAAGACCTCTGGCGTTCTAGAGAAGCATCCCCAGAGACCTAAAGAATCACCATTACTGAGATCCTCCAGAAAGCCTTGACAGAGTTGGTAATAGAGAATGGGAATGGGGCCCTGGGAGTGACATACTTCTCAGCCTCAAACTGAGACAAGATGTCCAGAGAGGCTGGTGTCTCCTCTGTGGATGGGGAGTCCTTCCACGCTCAGGCTTCTGGTTTATCCCGACGGACATAGCTTTTCTGTGATTCACTAGACGGTCTCCCTGTTTGCTCATCTGAGCCTGGGTTATTGGTGGATTTGAAGATCCAAAAGTCTGATACCCACATGTTCTCAGGACATCTGGTTTTCTAAATGTCATGTTTCAAAATCAAAAGACCGGGCATCATGTATCTTTGGGGATTATAAATCATCTTTTACTACAGGATTTTAGATGAAACAAATGATAGGTGTAAGTTTCCTGGATGTCTACAGATAATAGAGTAATGTAAAACCTGTGCTCACATTGGAGGCACAGCCACTGAAAACATGCCCATTCTTGATCTAAGCCCCACAGTAGGACGTGTTAAAAAGGGAGTTTGACAACTAAATAAGAGACAACTTTTCATGATGTCATCATTACATCTTCACCATCAAAATTCTGTCTTAGAGTGCAAACTTCAAAACTGTAATTAATAGACAATGGCAGTGAGTGAACCTATGCATACGCAGCCTGAGAGTCACGTGATGAGGAAACAATATTCTCCTTGGAGGATCCAGACTGCTCAGGCTTACAATGAGACTTGCCTCTTTATTAGTTTATAAGGAAGATTGACCATAAATTTATTCATTCACTCTCTCTTTCAAAAAATTTCTCTGCACATATCTTCATATGACATGAAACTGTGTATCGAGAGTAGACCACGAGAATCTCCACTTTAAATATTTTTATTCCAGATGTCTTCCCTGTTAAGCAGCCATGCATCGTGTGGTGTAAGTGTCGTTGTTGGGGTGCCTCCTAATTCACAAAGCCTCTCTGTGAACCCCTTGTTGCTGCTGCTGGGACGCACTTGGAAAGGAGCAATATTTGGTGGTATGTATTCACAGCTGAGGATCAAGTTCTGTATGTGTTCTTGTGTGTCAAGGTGGACGTGTGGATGTGTGTGGAGTCAGAGAACATTTGATGTAGCTATAGGAGCAATCAGCCTTGGTCATTGACTCTGGGGGTCTCAGTGGCCTGCAGCTCATGGTCAGGTTAGACTTCCTGGCCAACCAGTTCCAGGAATGTCCCAATTTCCTCTCTCCAGACCTGAAGTTGCAGGCTCCCCCAGCACTCAATCCACTTTTAATGTTGCTGGGTTTGTTTATTTGTTTTGTTTTTATTCTTAAGATCAACACAGCAGCCGTGACAACCCCTGCCAGCACCCCTACCCCTAAAACAAGCAGTTCAGAAAGAAAGCCATTGAATAGAATTCTTAAAAATTGTGACAAGGGTTCTCAATTGTGGGTCTCCACAGTTACTGGCTTCTGGAGGGGTGGTGGTGAGGAAGGACTCAGTTGTATTTAGGGAGCTCAGTTTTATTTGTTGGGAGTTTGGCCTTGTTCTAGTGAGAACATAGGCAACACAAGTTGGAAATGTTATATTTTTTTCCTTGATAGAGGTCAGAGGGTGGTCCTGAGAGGACTGGTAAGTGGGTGTGATCAGGGGCATTGTGTGAAATTCCCAGATAATCAATAAAAATCTG